GGCCTTGCTCATAACGTCTGGCCTAGCAATGCGATTCCACGGCAGCTCCCCACTCCCGCTGCCGTTAGGCCTCCACCCACCAGACCCACGCATACCACATAGTCCACCGAGGCCCCTGACCACTTGCAGGGGCTCCCGGCCTTGCTCATAACGTCTGGCCTAGCAATGTGATTCCACGGCAGCTCCCCACTCCCGCTGCCGTTAAGCCTGCTAAGGAACAAAACCCACCTCGCGGAGATTTCAAAATCCCAGCGGAGGTACAAGGCGGCTTGCTAGGCTGAAATCGGGAAAAAGCCAGAATCCCTTCTTAATTCTACAGACCGGGACCTGCTTTCTCACCCTGCAGAACTACTAGCATCTATATATTTATATGTAAAGAAAATGTGAAAAAAAGTAAAAAAACCAAATTGATCAGAAAGTGAAGAATAATGATGGGATGGGGGGGGGGGTTGTGGAGGAAGAACCAGCACCACACGAAAGGAAGGGAGAGAGGGAGGGAGGAGGGAAGGATCCTGCTCCGTGCTTCATTCACGTCGTTCTGTAAATCTTCAGGTCAAGGGCACAGACTCTAAAGACAATCTCTGTAGGCAAAAAGATTCTAGGCATACGAGAGTCATTTTCTCTTCACATTGAATGGAAGGGAATCGTAAACAAGAGCTTTTGCCACGTGGAGTAGAGAGCAGAACGTCATTAGATTTCGTCTCACTGGGATCTTGTTTCTCTGTCGTAAGTCAGCTCTCCTTTAATGCCACATGAATTGACACACCACAGGCCTTGTACAGCACGCCATGTGTGTAAACAAAGGGAGACCACATCCTTGACGTTTCAAATTATTTAGTGCGGTCGTTTCTGTTTAATCAGCATTGGGGGAAAGCGAGATGATACTTGTTCATTGAACTGAGGACACGGCAGGGGGGGGTGGACAGCAGGTGAGGATGAGCTGGACGGTGGCCGAAGGAGAGGCGAGCGTGAGGGGCAGGGCAGTGAGGGGCCCTGGGAGCGTCACTGTCCTCTCCACAGGTCCTCGCCGCTCTGGGGGGACGTGCAGGCATCCAGGTGGGGTCCTCGGCTGCTCACACCACGACGGTAGCCTTGCTCTTCTCCTTGCAGGGGGAGGGAGGCGCTGAATTCTCCCCCAGTAGCTTCTTCTCCGACTCATCCTCAGCCTAAAAATGGCAGGGGAAAAACCAATTCTAGGAGGAAAAACCAATTCTAATGGGAAAACTCATTCTCGGGGGGCGGGGGGCGGGAGGATGGGGCAGAGTTAGCTTTCCTGAGCTTGAAGTCAGAAAAAGGAAAGAAAGAAGGGAAGGGAAAAGGGACAGAGGAAGGGGCAAAGATCTAGGGCAGAAAGGAGGGGACGTGGGAAAACGAGTGTGAAGAACAGAGAGGCAGAGGACAGAACCCAGGACGCTGAGGGCGGCACAGTCCCCAGACAGCGGAAGGCAGAGCCCAGCCCTGGGAGGAAGCCGAAGACGCCGAGCGCGGCCTCGGATCCGCAGTGCTCCCGGCCCCCACATTCCTCCCTGTCCCCAGCGCCTCCCTGACAGCTCAGCTCACCAGGGGCTGGAAGCTGTGGCAACACAGGCTTCGGAGTCCCAAGCCCAGGGAAGCCAAGGACACGATGGCCAGCAGGGCACAGATGGTCAGGAGAAGGATACGGATTCCTAGGAACAAGTTCTGGAAATAAAAGGAGGAAAGAGAGAGTCAGGAGTCTGCCCCTCCCATCCTGCGCTACCGCCTTGTCACACACACACGCACTCACATAAACACACTCACACACGTGCTCACACACACACACTCACACACACTCACACACGCGCTCACACACACACTCACATGCACACACTCACACACACTCACACACGCACTCACGTAAACACACTCACACACACTCACATGCACACACTCAAGTAAACACACTCACACACACTCACCCACTCACACAGGCACATACACGCTCACCACATATACACTCTCACACACACATACATACACACACTTATACACTCACACACACATACGCTCACCATATATACACTCTCACACACATTCACATACACACGCTAACACACACACATACTCACACACACACTTACATAAACACACTCACCCACTCACACACACACACTCACTCACACACACATACGCTCACCACATATACACTCTCACACACATTCACATACACACGCTCATACGCACACACTTACACACACACACATGCTCACACACACACTCACATGCACATACTCACACACTCACATGCTCACACACACTCACATGCACACACTCACAGACACACTCACACACACGCTCACACACACACATACACGCTCACCACATATACACGCTCACATACATACTCACACACTCTCACGTAAACACACTCACACACACACGCTCACACACACGCACATACACGCTCACCACATATACACGCTCACATGCACACATACATACCCACACTCATACACACGTTCACAGACACTCACATACACACTCACACACACACACGCTCACACACACATATACACATACACTCTCACACACATTCACATACACACTCACACACACTCACTCACACACACATACACACTCACCACTTATACACTCTCACACACATTCACATACACACACGCACACACACTCACATGCACACACTCACATACACACTCACACACACATACGCTCACCACATATACACACACTCACACACACACATTCACACGGGATCGGACTCAGTCCAGCTAATTCCCACCAGAGCAGGCCGCATTTCCCAGCTCCGTGGGCAGCCACAGCTCCCCCGTTCGCTCGTCGGCAATGTGACCTGACCACCCCCTGTGAAGAGGGGGCTCTGTTTCTCCACCCCGTGTCATCTGGGAGGACCTGCGACTGCTCTGATCGGTATTGCCCTGTGGAAGCGACATCATGCTAATTACGAAGTCGCCCTTCGCTGGGCTGGCGGCCGCCATTCCTCTCTCTCGAGGTGCTGGCGGTGGGACGCTCTGTGCTGCAACCCAGTAGCCGTGTCACGAGAAGCACGAGCCACGTGGAGAAGCCACTGTAGGCTCTAGGCCTGACCGTCCCAGCTGGGTTCCCAGCCGAGAGCCGCCGGCAACTGCCAGCTGTGTCGCCTTGGATATCCGGCCCAGTCCAGCCCTCGGAAGACTTCACCCCACGACTGACACCTGACTGCAGCTTCGTGAGACAGCGAGTGACGATCGCCCGTCTGAGCCCCACCGGCCTACGGAATGGAGGGAGTGATACGAGACTGTCGGTTTAAGCCGGCACACGTGAGAGCGGTGTGCTCCGCACCCTCGCACCGGTACAGACGGGCGGTGGCCCGTGACACCTGCTCTTACACGTCCCCTCTGTGCCCCTCTCCACTGGGCTTCGGAGAATCTTCCTCCCGCGAGGGGCTCGGAACGTCTCCAGCTTAAGTTAAAACCTCCGGAACCGAAGACCTGGGCTGAGGTGCAAACGGCCTCTGCCCCGGGCCCCCAGGGCCCGTCCCGTCGGGGCTGCGGGCGGCGACGGCCCCGGGGCCACAGCGTCTGCGTCCTCACCGTCAGCATTTCCATGTACCCCCTGCACTCGGTCTCCAGCCACTTCGAGTCTCCATAATCGCTGCGTTGCCGCCATCCCTGCGTCCAGCCGTACTCAGAGGTCGTGGGAGGGGCTGAGCGATCGCACACGAGGCCGATGTCGATGAAGTCATACCGCCACCCTATGTCATTCCCACAGAAGACGAGGGCGGCCACGGCCGTGGCGATGCCAGCCAGGGTGAGCAGGCCTGACACCCAGCCCTAGGAGAGAGGGGTTCGGGACACAGACTCCCTCTGCGGATGGCCGAGCCGTGGGGTCCTGGCCTCAAACCTGGCTCCTCTTCCCCAGCTTCCTGGCCCAGGAGACACTCCCCCGCACCCCTTCAGGAAAGAGCTCGAGATACAGGGACCCCGAGGGGAGAAGACAGGAGGGGGAACGGGAAACCTGTGACCCGGGAGGGGGCAGAGGACAAGGTGGGGACAGCGGATGCCCCAGACTCACTGAAAGGGTGCCTCGGCGCTTCTCATGGGCGACGGCCCCAGCTCCTGCTGCAATGGCCTGAGAAGAGAAGGTACCAGAAGGCCTCCCATATACTGTCCTGAAATGACCTCCATCACCCTTCCCCCAACAGTTCTCCGAAGAGCCCACTGGAAGCACGATCCCGAGGCCAGGCAAGGAGACTTAGCATATGGATGACACCCCGTACCGCAGGCCCCCTTCCCAGTCTGGACGCGGTGACTGACAGGGTTTGGGGCTTGTCCTCGAAGGCCCGAAGGCAGAGGGCATTCGGACGCCGGGTCTCTGGTCTCTTCCCCAGATCCCTGATCCGGACCCAAAAGAACTCACTCGCTCCTGGCCCATAACCACTTGCCTCCCGCCGAGCTCACGGCGCCTCCCTTACTCACCACGGACCCCACCCAGAAGGCACAGCCCGTGCCACGCAGCTCGGTCCAGGGCCCGAAGTACAGGAACACCCCAAGAGCACAGCTCACAGCACCCAGCAATATCTGCGTCACCTGCAGACAGGGCGAAAAGTCAGACCCCTTCCCAGGAGCCCACAGGCCCAGGAGCAGCCACCCCACCCCCAGCTAGGGGCCTCTCCTTTTCCTCTCTGCCTTGACCTCTCTGCCGCTCTGATTCTGGAAGGTTCTGTCTCTTTAACATCTCTGAAGCCGCATGTCTTGTTCTCCCCGATCCCACTGACATGCCAGGCTTTTATCTGGCATTGCTTTCTCCCGAATAGCACACTCCGTCACCCCGGCTGACGGTTCCCTTTGGGAATTTCATCTTCCTGTGCAGGGTGGGCCGCGAAGACCCCCGGCAAGAGAGGAGTGTGGCTGGCTGACGGCCCCCAGGGATTGGCTTCTTCAAGGAGTTAGCTGTGCACCCCAACAAACATGGTGCACAGCTACCCCCAACTCGGTGCCCGCTTTCCGGAGAATCCACCTCTCACAGCATCTGGGACGCCACCACCTGCATGTCCTTCCAGCGTCTCAGATTCGTCACATTCAAGTCCCGCGCCCCTTCCATACTTCCAGCCTCCGTCTCTCCCGCCTCCCAGGGCTCCACCACCCGGCCGCCCACACGCCAAGCCTCGGCATGTCCTCGGACTCCCCCCCTACCTCGTACCCCAAGCCTATTCCCTCCTCGGTCATGGGGAACACCCCCCACACAGGATCTGGATCTTCATCATTTCCTCTGGGACCACAGAGGTGCAGACCCTCCGTACTTCTCACCTGCCCCAAGCCTATTCCCTCCTCGGTCATGGGGAACACCTCCCCCCACACAGGATCTGGATCCTCATCATTTCCTCCGGGACCACAGAGGTGCAGACCCTCCATACTTCTCACTGGACAGCTCCTGGCTGAGAGGCAGCCTGAAGCCCAGGGTCCTGCTCATCGTCCTGATTCAGGACAGATGCGTCATCCTGTCACTCAGGGCTCTCAGCCGCGTGGCCCTGGTCTGCGTTTCTCAGTCCAACCAGCCACGAGTCACATTCTCTTGACCCCGCCAGAACCCGCCCTGCACACACTGGCTTCTCTGGTCCTGCCCCTCTCTTTACCTGCAGTTCCTTGTCGTCCCCTGTGGGTCTAGACCCACCTCTTCTCCATCCAAGGTCTGGCTCAGATGTCACCTCCCGCGGGATGCTGTCCCGCCTCCCAAGGACGTCACCTGATCTACCTTTCGTTCTAGACAGTTGCCTGGTCCCTTCTGGAAGATGCTGAGCACCGTCTGGGGACAGTCCGGGGATGCTTTCTGAAGTGTTCCCGCAGCGCCTACCCCATGGCCTCATCTGCTGGCCCTCAGTCTACAGGAGTTTGATGAAACCGAATTAATCGCCTCCAGGATCTCCCACCCAGCCCCGCCTCTGGCTGGGAAGGGACTCACTGCATCACAGAAGAGGTCCATCACTCCTTCCCAGGCAACTCTGTGGGGAAACTTCCAAAACCTTCCATTCCCAAACGAGACGGGATAGAAATACTGAGCTCTCGCGAGGACTCAACCGTGAGTCCTCTGTGTCCCCTCGCTCAGCCGCCTCTCCAGCCCACGCTTACCCCTAGTGCCAGCCGTCCGTAGGGCATGCTGGCCTTGGGGGGCCCTGCATTCCGAAGGCCAGCACAGAGCCCCTTCAGCTGTGCCAGAGCTGACTCCTGGTGGATGTGGATGTAGACGTGGGTGGCCGGGGACTGTGCAGAGGCCATGTCGACTCCCTTCACGGTCACCGTGCTTTGGGTCATCTTGCTCACTGGGAAGAAGATGTACAGGAGTGAGGTCTGGGAGTCAGTAAGGCCACAAGGAATATAGGAAAAAAACAGTCTCCTTGTCAAGATCCCAAGGGTTCTCCCGATGGAGGTGTCAAAGTCACCGAGACCCTGACCGCGGATGCAAACCCCAATCGCCTCTGGTCTAATCGCCAAAATGGTCTGATACGGTTTGTCTGAGTCTCAGGTTGGACCCCCCAAAAAAGGAATCTGAATTATTACCTTCAGCGACTTCACATACAGAGTTGATCCCTGAACAGCACGGGTTTGAACCGTGCGCGTCCGCCTACATGCCGATTTTTTTCAATAAACGCCGTAAGCATAATCTCTCTTCCTTAATAATAGTTTCTCTTCTCTAGCTTACTATATGGTAAGAATTCAGCCTATAATACACATAACGTACAAAATCTGTGTTAACCAATTGCTTGCGTCATCGGCAAGGCCTCCGGTCGACCGTAGGCTCTTAGTAGTTAAGTTCTGGGGGAGTCAAAAGTTACGTGTGGGTTTTTGACCGCCATCGATCCCCACTGTTCAAGGGCCACCTGTGTATTTACACATAATCGTTTCCGATGGTTAAAACTTTCAAAAGATGTGAAAATGGACACCTTTAAAACACCCCCACCTTCCTCTCCCAGCCCCCTCATTGCCTTCTAGAAAGAAGCTAATGTCATCAGTGTCTCATATATCCTACAAGCTATCCCCATGCAGGAGCGAGGTTGGAGAGTGTCCACTGCCCCGTGCCCATGGCCAGCCGAGGGTGTCAGTAAACTTTCGCATTTTTTTCAAATGTGTATCGGGAAAAACACATTCCACTGTAGATTCTAATCGATTTTATGCAATAAAATGCCCCCCCCCTTAAAGGTACATCTCAACGATTTTGACACATTTGTACATTTGTGCAACCACAACTACGATCAAGATATAGAACATTTCTATGTTGCAAAAAAGTCCCCAAATGTCCCCTCCCGAGGAAACCCCCGCTCCTGGCCGCAGGCGACCACAGATCTGCTTCCTGTGACGATTTCGGTATAGTTTCCATCCATAGTTCTATGATGAGCGAGGCTGGTCTCTTTTCATCTGTGTGCGAGCCATTTGTTTCTTCTTTTGTGAGTGCTCCACGCATATCTGGCCTCCTCCTCGATTCATTTTGTTTCGTTTGGGTCTTTATAGTTCTTCGTGTCTTCAAAAAAATTACCGTCTGTGACATGAGTTCCAAATCTTTCTTTCCAATCCCTGGTTTCTTTTTTGATTTCACTTGTATCATTATGCAATCAAAGTTTTCCATCTTTGGAAAAATAAACTCTGGGTTTGATATCATACTTAAAAAGGACTTTCCTATTTCACGATTATAGAATAATTCTGTGTTTTCTCCTAAGGGGTCTTAGGCTCTCGAGTTTTCACATCTAAGTGCTGATCCATACGAAGTTTAGAATTCAGTTGAGCTGTTTCATGACACGCCCCTCCCATGTTATTTTTTTTTTCCTCGTGGCCATTTTTGCTAGATTACTTCTCCATCTGCACATGAGAATCAACTTGCCTAATTCCAAAAGAAATCCTCTACAGGTCACTCTCATGGGTATCGTCCTTGAGTATCACTGTTATTCAATCATAATATCATTACTAACAGTTCTACTGACAGCAGCAGTAACAGTAACACTAAAAGTCTTCCCATTTGTATTCTATGTACTTTTGAGAACAATTCCACTCTTTCGCCTACCTGGCCTCCCTTAGGGTGTAAAGGACAGACAGGTGCTTGACAATTCTGCAGACGCACGAGGAGGCTCAGACTTGTTCGCCCACATGCGCGAGGAAGTCCAGCCCAGATTCCGGCCGCATCTCCTCTTGGGGCCCAAGAGCAGCATGTTGCAGCCCTGAGTGTGCCTTGGGCTCCAGCCTTCTCTGAGGCCTGTGGGGATCACACCCTACTCCAGCTCCCACATCAGTCCAGCCCCCTGCTCTTCCTCGGAGTCGGGCCAGCCCTGGGAAGTTTCCTCCACCCCGACGCCGGGCTGTGGGGCTCTCCCCTGCTGTCCTGGACTCGCTTCTCTGCCCCGTCCCCCTCACTGCCCCTGGGGCTGGGCTGACGGGACCATGTGTCCCCTCTCCATTCTGGACCCTCCGCCTTCAGGCCTCACTCTCAAAGGACCGCTCATCACCGAACCACCTGAGCCTCAGCCCCTGCACCCGTAAAAAAGGCGCGAGGCACCGGCGAGGGAGAGGGACAGCCAGGCCGACATGGCCAGGTGCATGTCCCTCTTCCCTCCCCAGCCGTTTCTCTAGGGTCACATTGTCTAACTGGCACGTCCCTCCCTCCCCAGAAAGTCCTATGGGAACCAGGAATGGGGGGAGCCTGGCATCATGTGAGACCGGAGGGGGACTCTGGGGACTGGTCTGGGGGAGAGAGAGGGAGGTCGATGGGTCCTGCAGTGAGGCTGCGGGGCTGTACGGGCTCTGCTCACCTGCTGTCTCCTGGGAGCTCTCGCGGACAGCGACAGGCAGAGGCAGAGGCAGGACCTGGAGCTGAGGACCTGCCGGTGGGTGTGGGGGAGACGAGCAGAAGGAGGAAGGGGTGGGAGGGGGAGGGTCTGACCCGCAGTTCACAACTTCCCAGAAAACAGCTGAAGCGAAGGGGCCCTTCTGAGGTCTTTGGTCTTGGGTCGATGACCAGGCTGATCAGAGAAGCGGAGCACACACACTCACACGCACACTCACACACATGCACACTCACACACACACTCACACACACACTCACACACATGCACACTCACACACACTCACACACACACTCACACACATGCACCTTCAAACTCTTCCAAAAACTCAAAGAGGAGCCAATACTTCTCATTTTATGAGGCCAATATAACCCTGATACCAAAACCTGGTAAAGATAACACACACACACACACACACACACACACACACACACACACACAAACTACATACACATACACACCTCACACGCACACACACACTCACACGCGCGCACACACACTCACACGCACACACACTCACACACTCACACACACACACTCACACGCACACACTCATCCTACTGAGAACGCACACACCAGGGTGCACCCACCAGTGGCACAGGCAGATCCTCGCCCCCGCTCACCCCGCCCCCGGCGCGCAGAGCCCGGTGATCCGCGGGCGGGTGGCGGAGAAGCCCCAGAGGGGCCCCTTGGTCCCGCTGGATGCTGAGAAGTTGCCTGCTGCAGCCCCACCCCCTTCCTGGCGCTCTGCCAACTTTCTCTTCCTTCTGCCCGGTTCTCGGCTCCAGCTCAGCTCCTCCCAGCAGCCCCTTTCCCAGAGACCCTTCTCCCGGGGAGGGGGCACTGACCAGGCAGCGCAGGGCTGAGCGACCGCCAGGGCAGAGGCGTGTCCCCGGGTCCAGCTGGGAAGCAGCTGCTGCGGCAGTGGCAG